TGTGCTTAAATGATGTATTTGATTAATGTTAATTAATTGTAAATTAAATGTTTTCATTTCTTTTATTATTTTATTTTATTTTTCTTTTATGGTTATGGTTAGTGGTAATTGGCCAACCAATTGGATCCCATGGACTGCTTGGATAGGAGGTTGGATGGGTATGGATAATTATCCATGGATAGTTGTATATGTATATATATAGATATATATGTATATACATATATATAAAAAGGAAAGTAATTTATTAATATTATAGTAACTTTAGTATTAATAAATAATCTGATGTATATATTTTATATATTTATATAATAGGGATATACATATATTTTATACGTAACATGTTTTAAGTTACCTTTTTAATATTATGGTAACTTTAGTATAAATAAATAATCTGATGTATATATTTTATTTATTTAATGAGAATAAAGATAGATTATATACTTAACATGTTTTAAGTTACCTTTTAATATTATGGTAACTTTAGTATTACTAAATAATCTAATGTATATATTTTATTTAATTAATAAGGATATACATAGATTATATACGTAACATATTTTAAGTTACCTTTTTAATATTTTCATTTTTATTTATTTTTATTAAGTTGACTTGGATTGGGAAAAGGAATAGGGTTATTATTTAGCCTATAAATACACAACTATAGGTTGAAAAAGGAGTGAAAATATATCACGTAATATATTCTAGAGAGAGAGTTAGAGAGAGAAGGAGAAAGAGGGAGGAAGGAGGAGAAAACCCTTTAGAGAGAAGATCAAGGAAGAAGAAGTTTAACTTTCAATCCGAAAGTTTAAGGCAAGTTCTTCTTCTATCTCTTTCCCTTTGATTCGTGTTTCTGTACATGCCTAGGAAATTCCAGGATTTACTAAACACATAAAATTAAATAATTATGCATGTTTAATTGGATTAAAGTATAGGTTTTTGTGAAATTGGGTCATATCTGTTCTTGTGTTATAAATTAAAAAATGCATGATTTTCATTTGATTTCTGGTGTGAATTTTTATATGTTTGAATTATGTATTTTTCATATATGTGGAATGATGGAACGTAGAAACATGCCTAGGATTCCTGAACATTAAATAGGGACTAGGTTTGGGTTTAAATAAATTTAAATACACTCAATCATAACGATGCTTGCTATTTAAATGTTTACACAAACGAATGGATTTAATCTTTTAAAATGCTTTAGCAATTGAGAATAAATGTGTAGGATGAATTGGATATGGAGAATGCTTATTTGACGATATAATAAAATATCATCATGTATAAGATTCAGTTTGTGTAGGACATATGATATATGAGCTTAAATAAATAATAAGTCATTCATATTCTGTGATAACTTGATATCATATTATCATAGTTATTTCTGGAATGTTTGATGTATTTCTTTAATTATTACATCAATTGTTGGATTGTGTGGTTTAATGCACCGGTATGGGACGGTGGCATTCTAGGGACGGATTAACTTATCAGTTAAGTCCTACCTATTTTATATAAGGGAATGGATTAACTAAAATGTTAAGTCCTACTTATATTCAAGTCAGGTCAGCTGAACAAGTTGAATGACTTATGGAGGATTAATTTATTATATAAGGGAATGGATTAACTAAAATGTTAAGTCCTACTTATATTCAAGTCAGGTCAGTTGAACAAGTTGAATGACTTATGGAGGATTAATTTATGCTGGATAGGATGGTTACTAGATTTTATATATATAAATATGGTGCCATGATATGAGCTTGAGTCTCAGGATCAATGGTTAGGGCGCGTATATCGCCAGGGATGTGTAGCTAGATATAGTGTAGTTGTGTACCCTGGTAGGTCTAGGTACTCATGCCCACTATATGTGCGTTTTGCATGTTGCCTACTATTCAGGTTGAGACAACCCTATAGTCTAGTGAGGTTCCTTTAGTGTGTATATATATATATATACGGACTATTAGTTACTGTTGGATTGACTAGGATGTATACGTATATCGGATCTCTGCTTGGACTGTAGTAGAGTAGAACTTGTTTGTGGGCCTGACCCACCATTATTTTTCAGGTGTTCGTCACGAGTAGAGGTTGTTCGTGCTGAGCGGGGATCAATCTACTTCATTCTTCCGATGCTACATAGGAGTTCCTTTATGATTCAGTTTCCTGTTTTAGAATACTGTCATTTGTTTAGTTTGGATTTTCTAGGGGTCCACACAGTATGGATTCCCGAGTTGTATTTTGGAGGATCAGTTTTATCAGAAGAGTTTATTAATTAATGGAAATATATTATGAGGTTTATTATTAGATTATCATTTTAGTTTCTTGTCAGCATTTTATTTATTCTTCTTTATTCTTTTGTACTCTTTGTTCGTTTATTATCAATTTGTTTTGATATCCTCGGGTATTCGGGCGTGGGCCTGGCCAACCCACATTCGGAAATTCGGGGGTATCACAACTGTGATCAGAAACCCCTTGGGGAAGGAATTTATATTCAGAGCTGGTGAAGGTAATGCTCCATTGAGAGTTGACAAGACACCTATCAAGTTTTCTTACAATATTGGCCAATTCCTGACTTTCGTTGTTCCATGTGAAGAAAATTCCTTTGTACTTGTAATAATAAGTTAGTAATTAAATATCTTAGGTTGGTTATTTATAAAGAGTCTGAAATTTTTTCCCGGTAAGGTTATAAATAAATGACCTTCAATGCACACATGAGATAAGATTGGCATAATATAATCCCATATGAACTTTAAAATAAAATGGGTTTAATTTGAACACCCATCATAAAGTTGGACTCAACATCACTTCAAAAAAGGCACGCGTTACTTTGGCAACGAATCATAATTCTTCTTCTTCATAATGGAACAAACCTTTGCGAGAGTAATCATGCCAAGAGGGGAAAAACTCAAATTGGTTGCACTATTTATCCTATTTCTTTTATTAGGGTTTGATTTCTTTAGTCTGCATAAATTGATTTTTTTCCAAAATGTGTTTTTTTCTCAATAAATGTTAGCACTTATGTGTGGATCAAATTTTTTAAAACCGTGATTGAAGGTACATTTAAAGCGAATAGTTCCAACTTTTTGAAAATTGTGAATGGAAACCACTCATAATGATTTTTTGAAAACTGTGAGCGAAGAGTGTGTAAAGCAAATAGTACCGACTATTTAAAAACTATGTGCGAAAACCACTCTTGTTGACTTTTTGAAAACCGTGAGTGAAAAGCATATATAATAAATTGTGGTGACTTTTTGAAAACCATGAGCGGAAACCTCATATTAACGTTTTGAAAACTATGAGCAGAAAGTGTGTAAAGCAAATAGTACTGATTTTTTGAAAACCATGAGTGGAAATCCCTTGTATTGACTTTTTGAAAATCGTGGTATGTAAAGTCAGTAGTACTTTTTTTGAAAACCGCAACGAGTGTGTAAAACGAATAGTACCGACTATTTGAAAATCGTGACCAGTGTGTATCTAACTATGAATTTACACAGTGGATGTAAAACAGATAATATCTAATGCTTGGCTACACAGTACACGTGGGTCGTGATGGTTAATCTTGCCAACATTATGGAAAAGAAGGGACATTTTTTATTTATTTATTTATTTTTTTACAAATTAACATACAAGAAAGAACAAATTTTTTTTGGCTCAAAATGTTTAGTTGTGTGGATTTTTTTTTTTGTAATTTGTTCTTTTTTAGAAGAACATAGTAGTAATTTCACATTTGTCACTCTTCCAAGTAGACTTTCTTCAACCCAGATATTATTTTGGCAACCCCAATTCTTTCAATTAACTAATATATATTTTCAATTATTCATAATCATGACTAATATATATATATATAATAGTTGTGCTTGTAATTTATTCTCTCCGTCTAAAAATAAATGTCATTTTTTGGGTATCTAGGCTTTTAAGAGGTGAGTTTTAGTAATTTTTTTTATTGTATTAGTAGTTAATGAATTATCAAAGAGTGGGGTGATGGTTTATTTTTTATAAGTTCAATGCAAAGAAGATTAAATTAGTAATGTTACCAAAAAAAAAAAAATAGTTTTGACTTTTTAATTGGGACATGTATTTTGGGACAACAAAAACTAAATATTTATTTTGGAATGGAGAGAATAATAATTTATGTATTTTGGTAATGTGTTTACTTTAATATTGGAAAAATGTAGAATCCATATTTCATAGGTGTCTTTTCTTCGTACCCAAGTAAAGGAAAGATAAATTGCCAACAAAAAAGGCGTAGGGTGTAATTAATAAATTTACAGCCAGTATATCGTTAAGGAAATACTAGTGCAAATTTCCATTTTTTATTTAATTGATTTCCTATTTGAGTAATAATATTGTACATACGGCCTATTGAATGATTAGTATACCCCTTTTGTTCTATTTAGTTAGATAATGATTCTCGTTCATCAAATGGTTGATAATTATCCAACTACGACTAAAGATCACTGATTCAAACCGTAGTATTATAAATAAATGTAGTTTGTTACACTAAATCACTATTTTATCCCAAATGTATTTCCTATTTTAGTTAGATTACAACATCTATTATGGGAAAATTGGATTATTAATCATTTAAAAAAGCATATACAGCTGCCACACAACGCTAGGGTTCTAGAAAAGATTAATCAAGCCGACTTTTTAAAAAAATTACACGTGTCTTGACTTCACTGGCCACATAGCCATACTTGCATGCAATTAAATGCTTACAATTAATGGAGTAATTTATATTTCATAATCCATCTTATCATCATTAAAACATACTTATCATAAATTCTTTTATATTTTTTTTTGTTATTAAAACCAGGACTTTTCGAGCAAGTTTTCAAAAATAAATGGAACTTATTAGGGTTAGTTGTAGATTTGTACGTATATACAAAACAGAAGTCCTATATATACAAGAAACCTCGTCATACAGGCCTTATATATCGGTCCTTAATATTGATATTGTCTTGGTATATATAGAGAGAGAAAGTAGAAGAGAGAGAGAGAGAGGAGAAATGGTGAAAGAATCTGCAAGGAAGTGCTCTCATTGTGGGCACAATGGGCACAACTCAAGAACATGCAATGGGAAGGGCTGTTTTAAGCTCTTTGGCAGAATGATTGTGGTAGAAAAAGATGAATCAATTAGGAAAATCAAGAGCACCGGCAATCTAGCAATGTGTCATGACGCTGGCGAGCACGTTTCCGGCGATGCCGGATACCTCTCCGATGGCCACATTGAATCGGGGAGGGGTAAAGGAGAGAGAAAAAGAGGTGTGATCATGATTGGTTTTCTCTTTCTCGGTTTTACCAGTTTCTTTCTTTCTTTGATTTTGTGGAAAATATATACTTTTATTTTATTTTATGTGATTTGTAGGTTTAGATCTCTCTTTTGGACTATGGTAAGAGCATAAATTATGATAGTTTCATGTTTTCATCATGGGATTTATCAGATTAGTTTTTTTTTTTTTTTTTTTCAATATGAATCAAATCAGGTTTGATATTTTACTATACAATCTAGTTCTTTTAATCTTTTAATTGTCTTCATAAATTCTAATAATTGTCATTGAAGGATGTTTGGCATTAATTAGTATACGAGATTGAGGGCGGGCCAGAAACAACCTCTCCATATGTGAAGGTAAGGCCCTGAGTAAATCTAAACCCCTCTCCGAACCCTATAATAACAGGAGTCTCGTGCACTAAGCTAACCTTCTTAATTTACAAAATTACTAAGACATCATGCATGCATATATAGTTATGTATATACATAGTGTTACATAGTTTGTTTCCTCTATGGCATTGTACTGTTTTTGGACTTAATAGTTTTTTTTTTATTTTTTTTATTCAATTCAATTTTTTTTTAGGTAAATAGTGTCTCTTTTTGGTGGTTTGATATATTAATGTAAAAATAGTGATGGTTTTGTTCAGGAGTGCCATGGACTGAGGATGAACACACGTCCTTCTTATTTGGTTTGGAGAAGCTAGGGAAGGGTGATTGGAGAGGGATTTCAAAGATGTATGTGACCACAAGGACCCCAACTCAGGTGGCTAGCCATGCACAGAAGTATTTCATCAGGAAGGCTGCAACTGAAAAGAAGAAACGTCGATCGAGCCTCTTTGACATGCCCTTAAAAGAACCGGTAATAATCCCCAAGTCCAATGCCACGAAGTCGATTTGGTGCTCCCAATCATAGCATCAAATGTATAGTTGTATACATATATTTTCCTATATGTATTGACTAGCACTTTTGTGAATTTGCAGGCTAATTCTCATCCAGTTTCCCCTGGTTTGCCTTCTAATACAAATGTTGAAACCTCAGAGAATCAACATGTAAAGCTTTTATCTGTAATGCAAAAACAAATTTAGACTTTTTTTTTTTTTTTTGAAGTAGTGATAATTTTTTGTAATTGCTTTTTGTACTTGTACAGAGTGGTAACTCCATAGTGTCTCCTCTGAAAATGACACTTGAAGTCCAAGCAAAGGTAAAGGTCAATTTTTTTATTTTTTATTTTTAAAGGTCTGACGATAATTAAAATAAGTTCTAAAAAACTGAAGAAGTTAAGAAACAAATGAACACTAGCTAATGAGTTGGATTCTTGTAATCTTGCAGGCCAGTACATCATCAGTTCAGGTTTCAAACACCTTGGAATCACCAAAATTTACACCCACAGCTGCAACTGGTGGAATGCCTGATTTTCGTTGTATGCCATACATGGTAAGTCCTCTTTCTTACACACACTACACACAGTGAGCCAGCTAATTAAATCCTATCAAGTGTTCACCAAATTAAACTCATTGTTGATTATATATATATGCCTAGGCATTTTAAGTTTGGGATATTATATAAATGTTATTTGTTACCTATTTATGTGGTAAATATAGAGATAAACACCTAAGTTGAGAGAGAGTTTATTGGAGTCCGCCACAAAAATCGATCAGTTTTTGTATAAGTACTCTTACGTTTGTTTTGAGTTAGGGCCATTATGTTTACAGAAGTGAATTGTCCGCCTAGTCTACAAGTCGAACTTAATGTGACATGAGTTAGTGGGTCAGACTCACATCCATTTTTTGGAGAGCATATACAATATCCGGGTGTTTACATATATAGTACTCTGCCAATGAAAACTTCTCATTTGTTTTGAAAACTATCACGTCGGATCCCACCAAAAAACGAGATAGAATAAAAGAAGTTGAATAAAAATTAGATGAAAATGTATCAGTTCATCCACATTTAAGTATGTGAATAAGTGAATAAATATTAAGAAAAATGGAGAGTTCTTATGACTCTCCGTTAGGCGGGGTACCACATGTAAGTACCCGGAATATTGAATATTTTCTCTCCAGTTTCTAAAGCACTGCAAAGCATTTTCCAATTTCTTTTGGTGCCTAGCTAGCCAAAGCCAGTTGATACTGATTTTTTTTGTTTAATTTTTCATGGTTTATACAGGTGGGAATCCCCAACAATATGCCGAGCTTTGCAGCTACAAAACCTGTATCATTTGTTTATCCCAACAACCAGGGTTTTGTGTATCTCCCTAGAAACAATACAAATTTTGCTACTACTTGTGCACCTTTTCTGTCTCAATTGGGGTGAAGATGATGGAAGATTTAGAATTGAGATATATCTATAAATGGGGTCAAAAGTTTAGTATTGATGAATTGGGTTTGAATATATCTATACATTTTTATTTTTGTCTTTTTTATTTTTGTCAGCAGAGGTAGTAGATATGGAATAAATACTCAGGAATAATGATCCAATAATTCTAAGCCATTTTCTCATTTTCTCGTGACAAAGCAGTATTGTAATCCATGATTCATAGCAAATCTTGGAATGAGAAGTTATTTTTCAAAATCTTAGTCAAAGTTGCTTCAACCCTTTCCCACCTAAGCAATAGTATGTTACAAAATTTCTGATTTCTTGGTTTCGTTTTTTGTGGGGATTTCAATTTTAATCCTACTGTTTGGGTAATGAGAAAGTGAATCAATTTCGACCTTGAAAAAGTCCTTAACAACTTCATTTTGAGCATAAACACCAATTAATATTCATCTGCAATACACAGTTGATTTTGAATGAAAGATCAAGATGGAGCATGTGCACAGATTCAACACAATCACGTCTCTCTCACACTGTGGGCCTGTTTGGCTAGTGCTTTTGCTTCGTGTTTTTTACTTTTGCTAGTGTACTGTAACGAAACAAAAGCACGGAAGCATGTTTGGTAGTATTTGCTATGCTTTTGAATAGTACCAAAGCGCTTACAAAATTGAGGCCAAAATTGAAAGAATCAAAATGATGCTTTTGTTTGCTTCCACAAGGTAGCAAAACCCTATTCAAAAAATTTTATTTTATTTTATTATTATTATTATTTTTTCTAAAATAACATTTTTAACTAACCATTCAAATTTTCAAACTTGCAACACTTTTTATCAAACATGCTTTCATGTTTTGCTTCTAAAAATCTTATAACAAATTTACGTTACCAAATAAGCTTCTAAATAGTGTTGAACACACTACGAATCAAAGCAAAAGCACAAAGCAACTTTGTTTGCCAAACGGGCCATGAGCCTGCTTCTACTTCAAAATACAGTGTTCAGTTTACCAGGTGAGAATCCAGAAGAGCATGTGAACAGAATTCAAATAAGGTACATAAATTTTAGTAAGACCTGTGTTTTCAAATTAAGCCAAACCCATCCAGTAGGCAACACAAGAAGATATTCAGTAATAGTAGGCAAAACAAGGAGGTTGACATTATCAGGCATGCCATGTCATTAGCATGCTCGGCCAATGAAAAAATTCATTATTCTATGAAATTAGTCTCACCTATTTTAAAAAGCTACTATGGACTAACTGTTAATTTAATTTTCATTGGCTGACCGGACATATCAATGACAAGGTATGCCCGATGCACCCAATATCTACTCCATGAACACATACGAGGCATCATTATCAAGATGAGGGATCAGCAAGATTGGCAAAAACACACTCCTCCAAATTTAAAAGAACAATGTTGCCACAAAGCATTTTTATCTGTTGAAACATTTTTATTCACATTGATAGAGCTAAAAAATAGAATCAAATATTGCAATGTCTCCGGTCTAAATACAATTTTGTGACAGCAAATACAAACTGCAGCAACATTAAAGCAAAAGAGAGCGCAAGTCTTTTGCCACTTGTGGACAAGAAACAATGGAAGAGAACTAGCAGCACATATAATTTGTACAGGCCAATCAAAACTCAAATAGGCATAAAAGAATGGGTTTTAGATTACTTCGAAATCAACTGTATAAAAAGTGTATCATTAAGAGGTTTGAAGGGGTTCTGAAACTTGGTACCCTCTCTGGTTAAAAGAGGATAGAGGTGAAAACAATAGTGTTACAAACCCTTGCCAAGTATATATAACCAACTAAGAAGAACAGCAGCCACTGTTCTGGTTGACAGGTTGCCCCCGTATCTGCACTGTTTGCGGCCTTGCATTGTTCATGGTTGGTTGGTTTGCAATCCTGCATTTGCCGAAAAATGGTATTATTAAGATATGTAAATGAAATAAACATAATACTCCATAAAACTAGGTAAGCATAGAGAGTATGAGGGAAAAAGATAATAGGGGTGCAAGCCGGGACAATCATTTCAGTGAGATGGCACAGAAGAGCCCTAATAATGCAACCTACATTAACAGTAAGTAGCATTTTGGTAAGAGGGCAAGAAGGAAAACTTAAAATAAAAAGATATAATCCTAGACAAAATGAAGCTATATAACAGGATCCTGCAGCTGTCATCCAAACAGATTGGATAGCAATCATGATAAATGCTAAAGAATAAACAATAAGAAAAATACTGTTTGTAATTAATTTTTTAAGTAACTCATGTGGTTCATTTAAATGGCTCATTTGGGTTCCATCACTTCAAAAAGTCAAAACAAAGGACCATTAACGCTTTTAGTTAAGAAAGTGTGACTGCCTCATCCACGCTAGCTGGGTAGGGCTTCAGACCTTTGGTATGAAAATTCTGTTTGTGTAAAATTTACTTTTCAATACGTAGTAATATTTATCTTAACAAGCACAAATGAACTATAAATATAGTACCATCATTTCCTCCTTGCTTCACATTTCAATATTCCACCTTTGCTCTCCCATTATTATAGTAAAAGATCACATATTAAGTAGGAAAAGAAGTACCTATTCTTGATGTCAGCGCACATAGCCATGAAAGCCTGTTCCACATTAGTAGAACTTTTTGCACTCGTCTCCAGGAATGGAATGCCAATTTCATCCGCAAATGCCTTTCAAAAGTATAAAACCACATCCCTATAATGAGTTTCCACTAGCTTGCTCCATGAAAATATGGCAATATCAAGTGGAGCATGAAAATGTGTTTTACCTTTGCTGTTTCATACGACACAACTTTGTTAGCAGTAAGGTCACACTTGTTCCCGACAAGAAGTTTGTTTACATTCTCACTTGCATAACGATCAATTTCATTCAACCATTGCTTAACATTGTCGAAGCTCTCTTGGTCAGTTACATCATAAACTATCTGCCAGAATCGCCAATAATGTGATAGGAGAAAAAAAAAAAAATATGGGACATTAACCAGTTCCGGTCCTGCCACAGCAGGAAACAGTAAAGGGAGGACTTGAGACAGACCTAACCTTTGATTGGGATATAAAAAAAATAAAAAAGTAATATATATATATGTCCAAAGAAACTGAAGGTGGAGCTGTGTGAAAAGAGAAAAACATAAAATTAGCATAATGCCTAGAAATTAAAAAAATGTAAAACTTACTATAATGCCATGTGCCCCACGGTAGTAGCTACTAGTGATTGTTCTGAAACGTTCTTGTCCAGCAGTGTCCCACTGCATGTCCCAGATGAAAGATGTAATGAACTTCATTAATAGCTAGAAATAATAATAACAAATTGGTTCGGTGCCTTATAACATTAGGTGAAATTTAACGAAAAAAAATGGCACAAAATTGAACCAACAGGATTGTCAAAACCATATATTCTATCATTTATATTTGGTGGTCAAAGAATGCTACACATACTCAATGCACACATCCAAGCAGGCAGGAACCCAAATAAGGAAAATCCAAGAAAAAAGAAACATAGAAAACCGCAAAGTCATAGGACTCTAGACCATTAGCAATTCAGAAATTTTACTAATAGCTGATAGGATTCCTCCATCATAAATTACTATTGCCAATGCAACAGTATAATTCCCCCAAAAAAAAAAAAAAGAGAACTTACAATTTGAAGTTTAATGGTCTTCCCATCTTGATCCACTGTGCGTATTTTCTGAAAAATAAAAATACAAAATACAATCAAAGCTAATTACAATGCCAAATAAACATTTTAACCAATATAAAGTTGATTCTTACAAAGTCAACACCAATTGTGCTAATGTAACTGTCCAGATATGAATCATCCTGTATCAGAAGAGATGAAGAAAATTATTAATCGATCTGAAATTCATCTCCACAGAACCAAAACTAGTGCATTACATTCAGAGATATAATTCAAGCAACAAGAATACTAAATTCAATATTTTACTTTAAACATTCAAAAAGAGACTATTTGTCAGTTGAGCTGTCTAAATTAATGATGGACTAATTTCTTGTATAGGGAGAGAGAAGGCTGTTTAAAATGGGAGATGCTTCCCCATACTAAATTTTCCCGTCACATAGAAGGCAAGATATAGAAAATCAAAGTTCAGAACACAAGAAAGCAAAAATCTGAATTTCACTATTAAACACATTAGAATTTAGATGGCAGTTTGAGATTGCGGGGAAAACTTCATTCATCTGCCAAAACTTGATGCATCTCCATTTGAACAATACTCGGAACATCACAAAGAATAAATTCTTTAATGATCAGCAAATAAATTATTAAAAGGGAAAAAAAAAAAAAAAGAGGAGGGGTGGAGGGAGAGAGACTAGAGAGAGTGGAGGGGGGGTGAGAGGGGGGAACAATATAAATAAATCCAAACATCCTTAAGGACCTTAACATTGTTTGACACTTTAACCCTTTTTCATGCTCACCGCAAGTGTCAATATGAATTGGAATTGGGCAGTTATCGCAAATTAATTAACATATACATAGTAATGCAAAATACTCATGTACGATTCTAAATCTCTTAACTTACCTTGCTTGCATAATAAAAATCTTTTATTTCTGCAGCCCACAAGGGGTGTGTGTGTGTGTGTGTGTGTGTGAGTGTAGAGAGAGAGAACAACAGAACTTTCAAGAAAATACATTTGTTAAATTGTTTATGGTATCATAACCAGTGGGGTAAATTCCTAGTGAACATTTGACCACACATTCAACGAACCTCCAATGAGCAAGAAAATATTTTATCAAGTGTTGAAACTAAAAGAATGGGTGGCATTCTAACAGCTTACAGCAAATCTCAGAAGAAGACATGATTTGCCAACCCCAGAATCTCCAATAAGCAAAAGCTTGAACAAGTAATCACTGCAAATGACAACATGAAATACATTGTTAATTTTTCTGCTTTGGACTCGGCTGCAAAAAAACTGACCAATCGTTATGCGGAAAAGGGCTTGGAAAATAAGCCTTCCAATTTCATGTAGACAAACTTGCCAAAAAAGGTATATAATGTGTATTATTACACCAGGAACACAGCTATATAATATCACTACATTGTCTATTACTTTCACACCTAAGGTGGCATATTGCATTTTATGATCTTGAGTACTTTAGCAGGCAACAAAAGGTGATCGTCTTACCAATCCCATTTTCCGTTGGAAAATTTTCACAGCATTACTACCTTTACTGCATACCCACAGATACCATTATATAATTTCCTTATTTTCTTATAAATTTAGGAATATACAACCATTGCAAAAAGAAAAAGAATGAGAGAAATCAAAATTCAACAGTTCTATCCTGCAACCTCTTTAACTGTTCCATCTACACAATATTTGACATCCACCCTTCAAATAAAAGCATTGGTACCAACAGGCCAATGGCCTAGCGATATCAAACCCTTAATTCCCAAAACTCCCAAAGCGAGGTCACTGGAGGCATGCGTGTGAGTACCAACTAAGAAAAAAATAAAAATAAATAAAAGCATTGGCAATACTATTTGGGTTATTTCATGTTCCTTACAAATGAATCTAGAAAATTAAAGAAATGGGTTGTTGTATTTGGCTATCACAAACCAAACAGTTAATTCTTAACACCAATTTTTAACAAAACTACAAGACACACGAGCACTGTAATCCAACAATTGAACATGATGATATTGACATGCATCTTATGCATGTTAGATAAAGCTTTGCTTTTTTTTTTTTGGTTCACGACCGATTCATAATTCTATAAAACAAATGAAGACAATCGCGTACATAAATTTCAATAGCATTCAATTAATACAAATCAAACTAAAAATCCGAAACCAAAACATCGTAATCTGTGCAAAACCAAAACCAAAACCTATCAGGCCAATAATTCAAATCCAAAAGACATAGATCTCAAAATTAAACACGTTTACAACCGATCGTATCAAGAGACCAGAGACAAGAGACTTTACTATTCGGCATTCATGACTTTGTGTTGCTAAGGCTGACTGATCTAGCGGTGAAGGAGACAGAAAATTCTCCTTCCGAAGACTGCGATTCCAACGGAAGATTGGGTCGTTGCCGGAAAAAAAATCAGGTGAAAAAGCACCGCACGTAATTGGGTATTCGTTTGGACGTTAATGCGAAATTGATGAGATCGAAATGTTATATAATAGCACCGACAGGGCCAACTGGATTACCTGAGACGAGTAATTTGACGGAATAACCCCTGTTCTTCTTCAAAATTACACGCACTAAAGTTGAGATCCATTGGATTGCCAAGTCATATAACATAAATGGACAAACCCAATTTTGGGCGAATAACATTTCAATTGCATGTAGAACTGCATCAAGTTTTAACAACTGAGTAAAGAAGGTTTTACGCCATATTTTTAAGACATGAAATTTTAAAAATATCTTTATATCTTTTGATAAATAAATATATAAATATACGACCCATTTACAGTACCCGAAAAAAGAGCTCAGTCAGTACTCCAAAAATATCTCTATTGTTTTTACTTTTTAGCGAGGAGCAAACAAAACAACACGCCGAATCACAAGCTCCACGTCCATGCAAGCTTCTCCGATGAACGAACCAAGAAAACCCTGTGTTCCAACACGTTCCAGCCCAACAAGCCCAAGTTTGGCAAGCTAAACCAAGTGATCGGGTGTGTCATCGTGAACGAAATAACGACCTTGGGACCTTGGGTCGCAATGTAGAGGAGTTGGGTTAACGACTTGACAAAATTGGCCTAACACATGACATTAAATAATTAAAGTAGACTTATTCATGTATTATTGGTTTAAATCAATGATTAAGTACATCTTCACCAGAAGGACCCAAGTGTACAATCCTAGACCATGGCTACTTCACATTAATGTTGTTTGAGAGATTATATATGTATATGAGTAGTGATTTCTTGCTCTCCATGGAACAAGAAAATTCTTTCGCACTTTCTATAACAATCATTAGATTAAATCGAATGGTCAAATTCCAAAAACCCATCTATATACTTTCCTTTTAATATAAAACCACTATCATTATTTCTAGTTTCTAAATTTAAAATTTACCAATACCACTACTTACAACTATAAAAGATAAGTACCAAACAAATAAAAATATAAATCGCCTTTGCTGTTACTTTACATATTAGCAGTATTTCATACTTTTTTGCTTACCAAAAAACAAATAATGATAGTGAAAAAAAAAAAAATGATGATAAAAATAATAAGAAAAACAACTAATTTACAACGAAAATCTGAAATTTCATAGAATAATATAATTTTTTGTCATGAATCTCTTCGTCATGTCAATAAATTTTTGTATGAGTAATTGAAATGTTACAACTAGTTAAAATCTGGAATAAAATAAAACAAATTTAATAAGGAAGATGAAACAATTTGTGTGACAAAGGGGTTAGAGAACAATAGATTGAATTTCTAATTTTTAAATAGCATGCATTTAGGGGAGTATACAATAATTTAAATTGTGAAGTGTTGTGCAAATAACAGGTTACCTTAAGTTAATCAAGTAGATAAAAAAATAGAGATTTTATTTTTAATTTTTTAATTATTTTTTAGTCGATGTTTTGTATGTCAATAGTGTAATTTTTAATTTCTTTTTCACACTCAAACAAATACGCAATATCAACTTTAGTAGCATGTCATGGATGCAATTTTCTAACACTTATAATTTTTGGGGTTAAATGCTCTGACACCCTCTCAGGTTTGGATTTATTGTCCTCATATTAAACCTCAGTCATTTTTGCTCTCACACTCCCTGTAAAAAGTAAGAAATAAATTATTTTACTATAATACCCTTACTTTTATTTAACTTTAAACTAATGTAAACAGATAAAACGTGAAATGACAATATTACCCTACACTCAATTATCTCTCTCTCTCCTTCTCGCTGAATCACTATCACTGTTCAATGTATTTCTCTCTATCAAAAAAAAAAAAAAAAAAAAAAAAGAAAGGAAGGTAGAGGACCAAGGGGACAATGGTGGTGGTCATGTTGGCACGCCGGAATACACAATTGTGATGTTGGTTGTGCGGTGGATATGGTGGTGATGCCGTCGGAATGCCGAAATCAATGGACCAGAGACTCAGTTCACAGATCTACTGTGACGCACACAATTGATGAGGCAAAAGAAGAGGGAGGGCGGATCTTGATGGTAAGGCCAAGAAGATGGAGGTCTATTTCTTAATAGTGGTTACCAAAAGATTTTTATTTTTTATATTTTTTTGGGCAAACCAACTCTTTGTTTGGTTGCCGAGAATTGGAAGGAAAATAAAATAGAAATTTTTTTTATTTCGAAACTAAAATGGGTTTAAAAAAAAAAAATTCTATATCATTTTTTTTAAAAAAATTATATCATGTTTTTTATTTTTTTGGGTAAATTAACCTCTATTTATTTTTTTTGGTAAATTCTATATGAACTACTTTGTACAAATAGTGATGGCCATGGCTTTTATTTTCCTCCCAGGTGGTTGTGGTGTGGTGGCGGTGGTTGGGGTGACCATGGTTTGTTTTCTGCTCTTTCAGTGGTACTTTGGTTATGGTGGTGTTTGGGTTCGCCATGGAAGAATAGTTAGGGTTATTTTGGTCCATTAAATTGGTATTTTATTTACATAAAATCATGGAGGGGTAATTTAGGTATTATATTTTATCCATTTGAAAGAAAGAGGTGTCACAACAAGATAAACCAAATCTCGTGGGGATGTATTAGCAAAATTGACTGAAGTTTAATATGAGAGCAATAAACTGAAACCTCAGGGGATGTGAGAGCATTTAACCCTAATTTTTTTTAAAAGAAAATAAAATTTGGATTAGTGGTGAGACGTGATTTTGAGAGATGAAAATATTTCTATTTTTAGTACTTATATTTTATTGTTATAATTAAGGGTATTGATAAATATTAAATTTAGAAACTTGAAACAGTGATAGTGATTTTGTATTGAAAGAAAAGCATATAAGTGGGTTTAAAATGTGATTATTAGATTTAGAGTGAGACTACAGTTGGTGTACACAGTAATAATACTCTCTCTCTCTATATATGAGTCATATTTAAAGTGATACTACAATTGTGAAGCTAATTTCTAACTTCGCACGTGGGACCCAAAATGCACTCATGCAAAATTTTTTACTGCATAGTACAATAAAAATGTATTTGTTAGAAATTTTATTTTAATGATGATTTATACAAGTAATAACTTATACATGAAAGTAATAACTGTTACATGAATTTTGAATTATTGTTGGCAGTAAGAAAAAATAGTTTAATAAATATAGTTTTTTATTAATTTTATTACTTTTGTTAAATTTTTTAAAACTAATAAATATCGTTTTTTTATTAATTTTATTACTTTTGTTAAATTTTTAAAAACTATTTAAAACAAATTATTACTTTAATAATTGGTGTACACAGTAATTCGAAGTCAATATCACTATTAAGAGGTATGCAAGAGGGTGTGAAAATCTTCCACTTTCATCTTTTTGTCTCTAAACTCTCGTCTTCTCCTTTTTCTTTTTTCCTGAAAATACACCCCTTTTTTTTTTTGCCCCTCGTTCTCACTCTTCTTCTTTGGGCAAGACGGGTTGAAGTTTGATCTTGTCATTTGATGTTTTTATCGATTATATTTGATATTCATTCTGGTTTATTTTCTTTTTAACATAACAATCTTTTGCAAAATGACCGACTTTTCGAGTTTGTCGTGAGTCACATATCATATCAATAAATTAAAGAGGAAGTATTTGTAAATCGAACAAGTTTCAACTCAAAAAAATCTTATTGTATTCTATTGTCAGAATTTTATAAGTTGTAAAACTTTGATGAATTATTTAAATAAAAATAAGTTTGCTTTTTAAACAGATAAATTATGAACATTTTGTAAAACAAAACTCTAAATTCTTATAATCAAAGGTTGTATTGATTTATAAAATTTTTCCAAAAACTCTTGAAACTTAGAGAATTATAATTGTAATGAATTACTCCACCTAGAGAATGGCGGATGTTTAGAAAATTAGAATAATCAAAGAATATTTTTTATAAAGTCCCACCAATAATTATAATTTAATGATATATTTTTTTATCTTTTAAAATAAAAAAGTTGAGAATTCAAGTATTTACCTAAGAAATACCAAAATAATGTCATATTTCAGAAACTGTATCAGTTTAATTTGTGAGAGTCACGATTATTTAAAAGTGATACCTTTTATGGGACGGAGGGAGAGAAATGTGAGTGTGTGACTAACTTTCTTTTGAGTGTGTGACTAATTTTTTTGCCAATTCAATTATTTTTAAATTTGAAAAATTATTCTATGATTTTAAGACCACAGGTTTCCAGCCAAACACTGATTGACACTCAATTAAATGTCTTATTATTATTTTTTTTATTTATTTATTTTTAATTATTTTTTTTTGTATCATGTGGATTTTTAATTAGGTATCAGTTGGTAATTAGTTACTCCCAGTAATAATTTTTCCTAAAATCAGCTCGAAGGACGAGTGTCTCGCAGGTTGCAAGGTTTTCATTGGTCACATTCCTAGAGAGAGAAAGTAAGAGAGAGAGATGGCAGCAGCTGCAGCGGTTGATGACGTTGGGCACCAGAGAATGCCGCCGAATCGTAGGCCAGGTAATCACCTCTCTTTTCCTCCCTGCTTCCTTTGGTTGGTTACTGAGAAAATTCTGGAAATGAAATAATATGAATCTGATTCCTTATATTGATTGACTGATTCGCATTTCAGGGGTTAGGGTTTTAGGTTTTGCATCGTTTCATTAGATTTCCCCTCTTCATTCTGGCATTATTGTGTTCTTCATATGTTGTATGTTCCATGTAGTTTTCATCTTAAGAACTATAAACGAAATCCGAAACCCCCTTCCCTCTTCCAAATATACATACAATAAATTAAAAACGACTGCTTTCGAGATTGACTATTTGGTTCATTGCTTTAATTTATTTTTAAAAAGAAGAAGTTTAATTGTGCATTTTCAGACTCTAAATAATAAGATTTTAATGTAAAAAATAACCTTAGAAGCATGTTGATTTAGGGCAAAAGAGGGATGGGTATAAATCCGATAGCTATTAAATATGATTGATATTGTAGTTTTTAGTGTTAGCATTTACCCTATTTTATATGGATAA